ACATTGCAGCCAGAAGAGCCAAAATGGACATGAAGAAATAAAGTGTGAACACCTGTGAGAAGTTAAGAATTATTTTGTGATTTATCTAGTGACCACAGAAATTCCTCAATTAGTCAGTAAGGCTGCTGGCAGTTTGGCACAGTTTCAGAACTGTGTTTTGCCTTTGAATCAGCATTGTGGTCATAGCTGAGAAGGTCTAAAGGCGATACAGTTCTATTCTTTGGGAACTTCTGTTGTTATATTTTTGTTACAATTGGGAATTAGATATCAGAACCCTGAGAGAATTGTGTACAGTTGATATGCACCATGCCTGAGGTGGTTTTTGTCAGAATTTAATTAGCTTCTAAAGCTGATAGAGAAATATACCATGTGGCTGTCAGTAGTGTGAACTTGGAAGGACCTTGAGCCAGACTCTTCCTTCAGGCCCTGGGTCACTTAAGGAGAACAACTGTCAGTGTTAGGAGCTGGCTAAGTGCCATTGAGAAAACTCACATTTTGATCCTCAAGCGTAGCTGTGCTGCAAAAGGAGTTAAACAGCCTAGGCTTTTATAGATTATACATAATGATTAATGTGTTGTGCAGATAAAGTGACGATCCTGTCAGCTTCCACCAATATTCAGAAGCTTGAGAACAGCTAAGAAGTACTGCAAGAGATGGACTTGATGATAATGGTAAAATTTGTAGAGCAGCAATAAAAAATGACAGGAGGTCTAGGTATGATTTTTCTGTTGAACAGAGTCAACCACTGCACCAAACTGATGATTAAATCTCTCAGAACGTACTGAAAAAGAGCGCCTGAAAGCATAAATCTGTGTGTACAGTCACATGTATTCCAATCTGTAGAATGGTATGACAAATTCTAAGGATGTAGGTGTCATACCCTAGGGAACTATGAAGATGGTAAGTACTGGAAGTTAGAAGATCCCTGCGATTATTTCCAGTACTTCACAGAACTCTTTTTACTCCCCGATCTCACAGGACCACAGCACTGGTCTCACAAGAGCATAGTGAACAACTCTGGAATTACAGTACTATGCCTCAAACTAAAACCATTTAGCCATTTGTACATATGCATTTTTACAGGCCTCTAAAATGAACACATTTTATGTTCAGTGGCTACTGGTAAAAAATTCTGGAACACCATGTTTCATATATAAGCTTAGTTTTGTTTAAATGAGACTATGCCCTTAGGTAGCTTTATCCAGTAGTATTTCAGGGAAGTAGTTTTAAACATGTACAATTTTTAAAAACTGCTTCAGTGCAGCATTTCAATTTGGAAGGGATTTGAGGTCCTTGTACAAGAAAGGGTAGACGGGAGAGCCTTGATTTCAGTGATTTTTTTGTGTTATATTCTTTTGCAAGTGTATGTGATACAAAATAGAGAAAGCTGGGCAAAAAAAGAGAGCTTCAAACTAGAGACCGTAACATAGAAAATGTGGAAGGTGAATTGCAGAAGACTAGACAATTGATTCCAAAATTTGACTTCAGTAATTAGAACCTTAACTCAAATCTGCTAAAATTATGGGGGCAGAGAGGTAAATAGATTAACAGATTTTAACATCGGTTGGTATCTTTCGTGATGATCTCACTTAAGCCTTTTTGTATCATAGCCACAGAATTGCATTTTATGCTTAAGTGGCTGCAGCCTAATTAGAAAATATTTTATAGCAAAATCTAAGGGACTAATGAGAAATACTGCAGTTTTGAAATGCCGTGGGATGGTGGAGAATCCATCAGGCCTCTTCAAACTTTATACAGTAAATTATATTACCAGTTTATCTATTCAAATGTGTTTAAACTTGGGGACAGATTGAGGGAAGAAAGAACAAATACATTAGTTTTAGAAGTTTAGTGGTAATCCAAAGTAGATAACCAAACCTAATTACACTGCATTTGTGATCTAATTTTGAATGGCACTGCAGGCTTTCCTTTTGAAGCAGCGTATGTGCCATCTTAGTTTGAGTAATTATTTTTCTTCTGCAATGAAATTGGTGTTGTGTAGTAGTTTAGCACTACTAACTTTGTAGTTAGTAGTGGTTTAGTCATCTTCTGTTAACTCTTTCAGTTCCAAAGAAACTGTAAAGCCATGATGTAACCACAAAGGGAATCTTAATTTTCAGTAATCTTGAGAAAAAGGCTAGTAGCTATCAACTATGTTAGCAATTGCTCTGCCATGACAGTAGGACATATCTGAGAAAACTCACATCTTGATCCATTATTAGAAGTCCATTATTATGTATCATATTTTCTTATGTGTAAAAAGCTAACATGAAAAAAAAAGGAGCTTAGCAGTATACATCACCCAGTGCAAACCTGTGTATGTGGCACTTGTAGTGAATGCTATTTCAGTCTCTAAATGGAAGCATCATTCTGAATGCAGGTTTCAGAGTACAGCAGCTTTAAAAAGTGCAAACCCCACACGTATCATCCCCAGACCATACTTATACTTATTCAGCCATGTCTGTCTGAATAATTTGTGTAATTTGAATAATTTACCATAATTTACCATCAAAGCAGCATTAACATGGCAGTGGAAGGACAGGCTGGATCCTAGCACAGCTTGCTCACTAACAGGATCATTACCCAGTTTAAAAAGGCCAGGGCAAAGTTTACCCTTTATTATACCTCTATAACACTACTGAGCATAACAGTTTGCAAACGGATTTCATTTGGAGCAGAAGAATTCCCGTCACAGGAATCTCCTATCATATTTACTGTATGATCTTTATAACTGACTGCTCCAGGGAAATAACCTTGCTTGATTATTAGGCTCTTGACTAAGTCAACAAGACTGTCAGGAAAAAAAAAAAACCAAAAAAAACCAAAAAAAAAAGGGCACAAGTTTTAGAATTAAATTCCATTATTTCCAAGTTTTTTGAACTTTTCATTAAAAGATACGGAATGGTGGCAATACCTGTTTGCTCTTTTAAAAAAAAATTATGTGAATTCTTCCAAGTTAATTTATCAGGTGCAGAAGTTTCAGCATTGACAGCCTTTGAAAACAGGCTTGTACACAGAAAGCATTATTTAGTGTTAATGGTGTGAATTGACACAATCAGGTAACCAAGGGAACCACCAAGTGACAGCTGAAATGCAAAGAGTAGATTTATTTCATTACCTCACCAGCAGTGCCAGGTGGCTGAGCCGCATGGAGATGGAGGCTCTGTTAGGCTTGGCTCATCCTAGCGGCCGGTGCGGGGGAAGTGCTTGCAGCCTGCCTCTCTGCAACAGAAGGTCTCCTGCATGTCTGTGAGAGCCTGTTATCTCTCCAGAGGAATTCCACTTCTCAAAACAGGCACAAGGTTGGCAACAATAGCCATAATAAATGGAGTTTTCCCACACTGACATTTTTAGCATTCCCAGCTTCAAGGTCACTTTGGTCTAAACTATTACCTCCTCCTCCCCAAATTTTCCAGTTTTAACTGTTTCCTCCCAAAACTATCCATTCTTGCGAGTTCTTGCTGCCATAATTACCGCAGCAATGGAAAAGTCCTCCTTTCTACCTTTTTTTCCCCCCAGTTCCTAAGGTGAGGAATAGAAATCAAGGCCCACATTCTGTGTTCATTCTGTTATTTATGCCTCAAAAAATATCCTTACTGCTGACAGTGTCCTGTAATAGCTGTGGCATTGTTTTTCTCTGCATTAATCTGTATTCCTTTGCCATATGAATAGCTAACTGATTATCCTTATTTGCTCTACAAATGAGAGAATCTTTGCATTATGATTTCTGTATATATGTGTAGTTATTCTGCACTCAATCTTATGATGCACTATGCCATGGAAGACCCCAGTATAATCAGATTATGAAATAAAATAACCTTCATTCTTTCCTCTGAGTGTTGTTTGCATTTTGAATAACAATTAACAGAACTAGTAAGACATTATATGAGTACTCTAGGCACAAATTGTCAGTGCTGTTAATATACCTTCTGAATGAGACATCAACACATGGTTAAACTGTGCTTGCTAAGATCCTTTCTGAGCTCAAAGATCAGTAAGCTACATGTATGTCAGATCTCTTGATTTTTCTTCCTTCACTTTTGAAACTATTTTTTCCTACAAAATCACATTTCTCTGGGGCTAAATATCCTCTTCATGGTTTAGCTTTTGTATACAAATGAATCCAGACAGTCTTTGATAAACTGATTCAATAAACATACAAATATTAATGGATCACAAATGTATAATAAAGTGATAGCAGTGAATTATTAACTAATGTTGTTATAAACAGACAAATTTTGGAGTCAAAATGCTCATTTTACCCTGGTTACTGATTTTACACATACAACTTCTAGAAATCTTTTAAACAATTAAGGAATACTTTACAAGAAGTTTCATCTAGTATTGTTGCCAGAAGATAAGTTGACCTGAGTATAATACCTGTCTCAGCACTTTCCCTTCCTTCATTAGTAAATCTGCCCTCCTTGTTCTTCACAATGACATATACAGGTGGAGAAGTGTGGACCACCCAAACTTTAGAAAAAGCTTTAGTCAAAAATTTAAAAACAGTAAATCTGTTAATGAAGACAAACTGACCAGAAATGTTCCTTACTTGTCTGATAAGCCTTTGAGCCACCTGGGGTAACAGGCTTGAGCAGCTCCATTCACATGGTTTTTAGCTTTAAAGCCAAAATGTTACAGATCTGGAAGAAATGAAACTATGAGTTAAGTGAATAAGGAAACAAATTGTGACGTATATTCTTATAAACCAAAGTCTAATTAATCACAGACATAGAGAATCAAGAGAGCCCAATTGTCTTTGTCCTAGAAAAAAGGTGGGGGGAGGAAGGGAAAACAGATTTTTGCAAAGAAGCAGAAGAAAATATGTTGGTCAGCTACAGATATTTCTCAGAAGTGTAAATGTCAATTAACTATTTAGAAACATCTTGAATAACAAAAAAAATTCTGCATAGAAGAGACAATAATTACTTCTCTACAAAAATGACAACATTCTTATAAGACTGGTTTTATTGTTTTGTTTCTGTGGCTGTTTTTTGCAGGTGTTGCTGCTTTGGATTCCAACATTTCTGGGAAGATTGGTTTGCGAGCAGTTGTATATTATTTCTGCACAACAGTCGTTGCTGTAATATTAGGTACTCTGTAATTCTGTAACTTTTTAAATCATCAGACTTGCCTAATTACAAATGTGACATTACTAATTTCCCAAGTCAGGATGTGGAGATGAGATGAGGAATCATACCAGATAACCTGACATTAGCTGTAGTCAGATACAGAGACGGGCTAGTGCTGCTGTCCATGGGCTGTGTTTATATCCAGTGTGAAGCCACAGGAAATTTCACCACATATTTCAGCTCCGAGAAGATTAGGAGCTGTATGCTGAGGTAAAAAATTACCAGCAGTGAGAAAGCTGAATGAATGTCAAAGGCTAACTTTAAATACAAAGTGAATTTCCTCAATAGTAAAATTGATGGCTTGTTCCTGATTCCCTGATTGGAAAATATGTAGTGTGTCACACCGGAAAGAATGACAGAAAATACTGGTTCCCTTGTCATCTTATTTCTTTCCTTAAAGGTTTTTTCCCCCTCTGTCACTGCTAGGCTCCAATCCTACATCTTTGAAAATCTCATCTCCTCTTACAGGAAGTTTATTCCTGAGAAACAACATTGACATGTTCTGTATTTGCTTAAAGAAACATGCTCAGCCAGCCTTCTTAAATAAGAAACAAAATAAAACAATCTATCTCATATGTCTGAGTAATTAAAGACTACCATTAGTCTGTATCTAACTTAAATATTAAAGACTAACATTAGTATGTATCTAACTTTGAAATTGTCCCAGATTTGGGTGAGGTGGTAAACCAGACAATCTCCCAAGGTCCTTGCTATTCTAGGTTGTTCCATGGCGTTATGACATTACTTGTTTCATAAGCAGTGCTATGCAAATATAGTACTGCCTTTATTAATGAGAAAGACTTGTTCCTGCCTGGTTGAAGGGTCATCCAAACAGTTCTTTCACCCTTCTTTCTCCCTTCACTGAAATTTAGAAATTTCATTTGCTTTGCCTTCATTTGAACTTGTATAAGGAAAAAACAAAGACAGAAAAAAAAATATTTGGAGAATTTGGAGAATAACAATAGTAAAAATGCTTAAAATGAAGCCACTAAAGTAAATGAAAAAATTGTCGTTGATTTCAGTATTTACAAGATCATATCTAGTATTTCTTACTCTACAATATTTGATTTATTTCTTTTTCTGAAGCCTTCTCTTACATAACTATATTGCTACCTAACTTTAATAAAACACCCTGTGACTCTGGGGTCACAGGACAGTGCACAGCTAGTAACAAGAAGAGCTACATAAAAGAAAAGGGAAATAACAATTAAATATATTCACTCTGCAAAAGTTGCAGCACACTCATCTGGAACCCAGCTGAAGTAATTTACCCTTTTGGTGAGCAGTAGTGATGTAGTACAATAGATACAAAAGTGATGAAGTCTAGGGGCAAGCCTGCAAGTAGCTCCTGTACTAGGGGAACCCACACATTTAAGGAGACCACCTGCAGACTTTTCAGCAGAAGCACCCAGAGAAAGTGTATTGAGTTGAATTTAGAAAAAATTTGGCTACACAGGATATACAGAGAAAGAATGCACCCATGACTCTTCTTGCACTGTGAGCTCTCTGCTTCTCCTTCTGCAGGGATTATCCTTGTTGTGACCATTAAACCTGGAGTGACTCAAAGAGCAAGTGATATTGACAGAGTGGGCAGTACCCCAGAAGTCAATACTGTTGATGCCTTGCTGGATCTGCTCAGGTAAGGTTTTAATTTTTATTTTCCATATCCCCTTTGCGAAAATCCAAACAAACATAAATAAAGTTGTGATATATAATACAATAAAATGCCTTCTGATACTGTGTGGATGAATAAGGGTAATATTTCAACAAATTAGACATATTAAAATTTACTCAAAGCAGTTTATTTTTTAAAAATTCTCTTTACACCATACACTTTGGCTAATAAACTAGTGATGAAAAATCCTTCCTTTACAGAAATTGATGTATTAAAATTTATTATGAGGAAAAGATCCATAAAGGATTGGTGGATTACTGGTGGATTACTGATTTGCAGCCTGCCTTGCTGTAACAGAAGGTTTCCTGCATGTCTTTGAGAGTTTGTTATCTCTCCAGAGGAATAGTTGTCATCCAGCATAGACAACTAGCTGAAATTACAGAGCTGTGGTTCCCCTCCTCAAGGCAGCATGCAGAGAAACAGATGCAGTATGCAAAGATTTCCAGGGGTTCCACAGTCAAGAAGTTTGCTGCATCACCAGTATCTAAGGCAACTGTATAATGTGTCTTTCCCCATTAGCATCATGGACAATGATAGATATTTTTAAGTGGTTAGAAGAAGGAAACCCCTAGAAAAGTCTGCAGAAGACAGGTGCAGGTTTTCAGAGCTACTGTGCATAAGGGATTTATTTCTTTGAAAATAACACCAATAAAGGCTGCATTTCCAATAAGGGCTAGAGGCTAGGTAGTACCTTCAAAAATATTTCTGGTTTTTTTTTTTTTTTTTTTTTTCTGGTGTATTTAGTCTCTATTCTGGGTCACTATTCCTGCCCATCATTTGTCTTTGTAGAATTTTTACTTAATCTGTCATGTAAGAATCAACTGCACATATCTAGTAGTTTCAGGGTTTGCTATAGATTGTAGCTCAACTTCTTGCAAAGAAGTTGAAGACTAAATTAACAGTTAAAATATCTGAAATTCTCTTTTAAAGGAATTAGAATGTACTACACATTTCTATTCAAAAACATGGATAAAAAGAATAGATTTAGGATTTGTAAAGATGAAGGAAAAACCCACAATTATACAAACAGATTTTTCTTTAGCATAGATTTTGTTTTTAAAACTTGAAAACCAAAGGCAGGAGTTTGTGATAGATCTTTAGGGGAGATAAAAACCCATCTGCTTCAGTATATAAAATGCATTTTCTGTACTGGATTGGATATTTACCAAATACCTAATTAATATTTTCTTTTTGCAATTGTTTGAATCTGAAATTGGCATTTGGAAAAGAGTCACCCAACTGCATTGCACTAAATCTCCTATTTTTTCAGTGTGTAAAAATGGTTCTTGACACCAGAATAACACAGGAGAATTTACCATTAACCAAGATTAATTTCTGAATTCAAAAATAAAATAGAGCACACCAAATATCTTATTCTTACAGCACAGCCTTTGTAAGAGGTTTGTTTTTTTTTTTTTCTCTTCTGCCTATATTTGACATATCCTGTAATGGTGGTGTGTCCTGTATTCCTTATGGAAATCAAGGAGATAATGTAGCAGGGATAAAATACACTGGGTTTAGTAGGTTTGTTGTCTTTATGAAAGACAACCAGGAGCCTGGTTCAGGTAGCAGCACGGCGGCCTGGTCTCGTCCAAGCCACTCGGGCTAATCAACATACGCAGATACCAATATGGCAGACGGTTGAAAAGCGTTTATTATCCTATTTCGTGGGTTTATATAGGTTTAGGAGTCTTTGCTACGTCAGAGGGGGGTTTGGGGTCTCGGAGGATAGTGGGTAGTGGAATTTTACCAAGACAGGTGTGGCTACATTCTTTTCTGACTCCTGGGGTTAGCAGATAAGCAGGGGAGAGAGAGGGGGGGAAGGGGTCTATCTTTCCGTGACATTCCGGTAATCTTCCGCTTCGCCTGTCCCTATCTTACCACATCTCCCCCCTCTTTATCACATACAAAATGAGGTAGTTGTAGATAGAGGCATTGGAGTGAGGTACAGACTTGTAACTTGTTAAGGAAAGGGTGGTTTAGTAGATCAGGGTAGATTTTTTAAGGCAGGTGCTGAAGGCTTTAGCTACTGACTGTGTTTGCAGTTTTTTGGTTTATAGCATTTGTTGGTGGCCTACGAACAGAATGTTTGCCTTTTCCAGACGGGCTTGAACAAACGAGACTAGTTTGTTCAGCAGGCATGGTCCTATGGTAATAGCCAAAAGCAGTATTGCCAGTGGACCTACCAGGGCAGAAATTAAAGTGGTGAGCCAAGGTGATTGATTGAACCAGGATTCAAACCAGCTCTGCTGGGTCTCCCTGTCTCTCTTTCTCTGGGCCAGTCTGTCTCGGAGTTCTGCCATGGAGTCTTTACCGACTCCTGTATGATCTGCATAAAAGCAGCATTCCTCCTTCAAAGCTGCACACAGTCCTTCCTGCTGCATAAACAAAAGGTCAAGTCCCCGCCTATTTTGTAAAACTACTTCTGAAAGTGAAGAGACTGACTTCTCCAGATAGGAGATGGATTTCTCGATCCTCTGCAGGTCCTCGTCGATGGTCATTTGCAGCTGGGAGAGTCCGTGTTGCTGGGTTGCGATGGCTGAGACGCCCGTGGCGGTGCCAGCTGCTCCCAAGCCGAGTAGCATTGCGATAGTTATACCTGTGATGATTTCTCTTTTGTGGAGTCTGTTAGGTTCTTCGAGAAGATGGTATATTTCTTCGTCTGAGTGATGCAGGACCTTAGAAACAATTAGAACTTGAACACAGAAATTGATAGAGTTATTAAACTTGGCAAGGAACATATAAGGATTCACTTTGGGTTTTTGGCAAACCTACATTTCAAATGTGGATGGGACTATTTACTTATTGGTCTTTTGTGGGGAGTGTCTTACTTGCACTGGTGGGGGATATTGGCTGTGGAGTAACTGAAGGGGGTATCTAAAGCATTGCTTTTGTAGAAAAGGGGGTTTAATATCATAGTAAAACTAATAGGGCTGCATGAAGAAAGACACTGTGCATGTTTGGATCTCACCACCGTGGGATTTTTAGGTGTTGTCTGGCAGTTTGGTGGTCCGTTATCTCTTTTTGGAGCAGGGGTGTCTGTGTCACAGGGACGGTCTTCAAGCATGTCCTGCAAACAGAACTTATAGCTTTTCATTAGTTTTGTTTTGAGGGTCAGGTTCGGTTGGTAGCAGTGGTGTGCAGCAGTGGCTCTCATAGTCTCACTACGTGGGGGTTCTGACTGCCGCAGAGGCAGCACGTCCCCCACATCCCCGGGGGCTTTCTCCCCACTTTCATGGCCAGGGCTACCCCGGGGTCCCGTATCGGGGGCGTCTCTTGCTGACTCTGCGGTACGCGCGCCGTTTGCGGTGGGAGGGGGCTGGGTTCGCCCGCGCGCTCCCCCCCCGCCCGCGCGCTCCCCCCCCCGCCCGCGCGCTCCCCCCCCGCCCGCGCGCTCCCGCCGGCTCGGAGGGGTCGGTAGAGCTGTTGCCAGGCTCCGCGCCGGAAATGAAATGCCAGCGTACTTCCGGGGCCCCGCGCCGTTTTGTTCGGCCCCGGGCTCGCTCCTCCCCGCGGGGGAGGGGCCGCTCCCGCCCCCCCGGCTCGCCGCGCCCCTCGCGGGGGGTGGTTTTTGCCTTATATGGTGGCGGCTCCCGGCGCGGCCGCTGATTGGCTCTGTGTCCCGAGCCGCTCTCCGCCCCTTTCTCCCGCGCGCGCGCGCCCTTGAAGTCGCGCGGTGTCCGAGTTTTCGCGACGGGACCGCTCGGGCTCCGCCCCCCTCCGCGGCATTCGGCGCCATTTTCAAAGCGACCGCATGGCCGCGCGGCCGGGGATTTTCCCCGAGCCGCGGCCCCTGCGACTCCGGTCTCTCTCGCCGGCTCTCACCAAGAGCGCCCCGCGCGCGGCTGCGCCTTTGACCGCGGATCTCTGACCGGCGGCGGGACGGATTGGGAAGCGGCGGCTTCTCGGGGTTTTTCTGCGGCGGGGTTTTCGCGGGGGTTTTTCGCGGCGGGGGTGTCCCGGGGGTTTTCTGCGGCGGGGGTGTCCCGGGGGGCTTGTGCGGCGGGGTTCGGCGCTGCTCCGCTCGGCGCGCCGGCGGGGAAGCGGCGCGGAGCCGCGGGCGGGCTTGGGTTCCGGCGGGAGCGGAGTCGCGCTGCTCGGAGCGCGCCCCGGCGGGGTCGGGGCCGTGCCGCTTGAAACGCGCCGCTCCGGCGGCAGCGCTGCTTCTGCCGGGCTGGGCTGGGCTCAGCTCTGCGGCGGGGCTGGGCTGCGCTCTGATCCGGGGAAGGGGTTGTCGCGCTGAGCCCTCTCGGGTCTCCGGTCCCGGGTGGACCCTCCTCAGGGACGGTCTGCGCTTTCGCCCCCCCCCGAGCTCGGGTTTGACTAATAAACACGTGCGCGCTGCATTCCGCGTCTTTTGTTTTTCTATTGCTTTGCGCGGGGTTTCTTTTACTTTGCCCCGTGCCGTAATGCTTTTGCTTGAGGATTTTGCCTCTCCGGCTAGCGTGGCTGTATGCCGTTCCCATATTCCCAGATGCATGGCATCCACTGAGCATTCGGCTGCTCCAAGCTCAGGCAGCCTTGCTATAGCAAGATAAAAGTCCCTGAGCTTAAATGCGATATTCCATTGCCTCATACTTACGACCCATGCGACGCTGCCTATGACGCTCGCGGGTCCGGGGACGTCTCCCCTACGCCTGGGTACGGTTCCACCGTCCTGGCCGCTGCTTCTGTCCAGGTGAAACCCGTCAGCCGGGCAAATTTTTCTTCTTTTGTCCCGGGTTTCGGCACCAGTATGTTGTCTTTATGAAAGACAACCAGGAGCCTGGTTCAGGTAGCAGCACGGCGGCCTGGTCTCGTCCAAGCCACTCGGGCTAATCAACACACGCAGATACCAATATGGCAGACGGTTGAAAAAGCCTTTATTATCCTATTTCGTGGGTTTATATAGGTTTAGGAGTCTTTGCTACGTCAGAGGGGGGTTTGGGGTCTCGGAGGATAGTGGGTAGTGGAATTTTACCAAGACAGGTGTGGCTACATTCTTTTCTGACTCCTGGGGTTAGCAGATAAGCAGGGGAGAGAGAGGGGGGGAAGGGGTCTATCTTTCCGTGACATTCCGGTAATCTTCCGCTTCGCCTGTCCCTATCTTACCACATAGGTTACCAAAAGAAATGTCAAATTCTAAAAAATAAGCCAAAAGTTCAACAAGTGCAAGTAGGAAAACAATCATTGGGACTCTTAAACCCTTAATTTCTTTGGAAAAAAGAACTCTATATCTGTCTATCTATCTATCTATCTATCTATCTATCTATCTATCTATCTATCTCTGCTGATGTTAAATATACTCCTTTCTGCCAAAAGAAACAAAACATGATCTGTTTATCATTTTGTTTATAGCAAACAACTTTTCCTTAGTATGCTGGATAATTGAAATACTTCTGTGCTTGTTAACAGGAATATGTTCCCAGAGAACCTTGTTCAGGCCTGTTTCCAACAGGTAAGTTTGAACATCCTTCTTTATTTCTGTAGTTTTCACTATTAACCACATATTATTTTTTTATGTCACAAAAAAAGTTGTCAGGCAAGACTTATTTCTGAGAAGTCCAGGAATATTTTCATCTCCTATAAAAACGTGGAGGTTTAAGGCATCTTGGTTCCATTTCCATTATTATAAACACTCTGCTATCAGCTATTAAGTCCCAAATAGGCACTGTTTAAGAGCTGGATGCAGAAACTAAACAGCATGTAAGACAAGATGTTTGCTTTTGGGACAACAAGAGTTAGAAGAACCATCTTATGAGGATTAGTTTCCTTGTTCTTAAGATCCTTCTGTGTCTGATAAAGTCTGTGTAAATTAGCCCTCACCCTGAAGTGTCTCACATTTAATATCCACTGCAAGACCAAATCCTTTGAAGGAAAAGCATGATAACTAATAGTCTATTCGAGACTTCTTTCAGGAAAAGTGAGTGTTGCAAGATGGAAGAGGAAGCTTCTGTCTATATAATAGATTTATCAGTTAGCCTTCTCCAGAAATTTATATCAGATATGCTGCTGTGAAGAACTCACTTTATAAAACTTCTCCATGTAGTTTTTGTCATCATTACTGGCTACCCAACACTAAGGGGACAGGCAGGCTCTTTAAGGAATCCTTGAAAGAATGATGGTGGCACTAAACTGTAGTTACTATAAAGTATTGTTTTCTTAATGGATTATGATTAGCATAGCACAGAATTTACAATCAGAATAGCACAGGATTTCTATGAGCGGAGTCTGTGTAGTACAGTTTTATAAAAACACCATTTAACTTACATTTTCTAATCACCTAGAGCCACTGTATATTTGGTCAAATCTTAATTGCTGTATCAATATAACAACCATAATCTAGGCTTGAAAAACATATAAAAGAATGCAGGTTGGTCACTCAGTCCTCAGAGGAAGCAGATGGAGGCATCCCTGACCACCAGGTCTCACTGTCCTGCAGCAGTTTTGGTCCAAGTTACTTACTAGAACTTGTACCTGCTCGGTTTTATGGACAGTGTACTTGCAGCTGTTACACTTGCCTGTTCGTGACTGCATCATCAACGCCACTCATCTGGCTGGGTGTCTGGAACATTTAAGACAAATAAGGAGAGGAGTAGTCTGCCTAGTGTCAGGAATCTGGAGGCTAGTAGGGATCGGGACAGTAAGTCTGTTTGGTTTGTCTGCTTGGTGCACAGGACCTTGAAGACCTGGCAGTGAGGGGAAAGGGAAGTATGTTACCCATTTGACAGCTAAGAATGGCATTAGTTAGGCTGACCACATCACTAAGGGCCTCTCCTGGCATGGCTGTCAGCAATTCTCTCAAGACTGTTTGTTCCAGCAAAAATTCTTGCCATGTCAGGAGCTCTAGCTCATGCCCCACAGGACTGCAGCACGTCCATGGCGTATCTAAGATCCTGGGGAGCAGAATTCATAGCATATTATTTGTGAATCTCTTGTTTGATCTACAGCTCCTGAGGTACAGAGCCATGATGGTTCAACATTAGTCTATGTTTGCTACCTTTGGTTCTGACTGCTTAATTTTTCTCATTTTTCTCTTATTTTTACTGGGCCTTTGTCTATTCTCCAGTTTTCTTATTTTTCTAAATAAGTTCTGGATTTTTTTTTAACTTTTTCAGTATAAAACCAAACGTGAAAAAGTTAAAGCTACAAGTGCTGTGGATAAAAATAGCTCCATATTTCGAGAGGAACCCACTACAATAGCAATGACAGCAAACGCTCCAGAGGTATGACCTATTATCCTTTTATTCCTTCATAAAATACAAGGTGGGGAGAAAGAATATAGACTAAATTTGGTTTAGTTCTTGTGGTTAGTGACGAAGAAATGAATGGAAATAGCACATAGATGGATTTTAGCAAGAGTGCAGAAGTTAATTAGTAAATGCTTAGAGGGCCTTCCAGTAGGTTTAAGAACATCAGAGCATCCCATGGGTAATTGACCAGTCCAAAGAAAATAGATGAAGATTGATTACATTTATCTGCTTATGAATTGTCAATTTTCTGAGAAATTCAACACACGCTATGGAAAGACTAGATGTATATCACCATGAGATGTTTGAGTAGCAATGACTGCAATTGTAAGCACTAAAGAAAATTAGTTGAAAATAATAATAAATATTTTTCAATGGAAAACAAAACAATATAAATAATTTGTTAATAAATAGTTTGTAACTCTGAAAAAAACTGTACAGAAATAAAAGTGAAGAAGAGATTTAAGAAGCCTTTCATTAGAGGTGTGGAAAGCTTATGTGTGTTAATGGTGTATAAAGTCTAGACTTATTGTGGAGGAGAGGGAGAAAGGAATTCAATATAATGTGAACACAGAACTATAAACAATACCAAATCAATATACATTTTATTATATTCCTTCCAAATTTCATCTCAAAGTAATAACAACATAGGAGGATGAGCTATACGAAGAGACATTAATTAAATCCTGAACCAGAATGTAGTGAATTGCACTCTTTCATTCATATGTTCATGCTGCGCAGAAGAATGTATGAATACTTCTTTAGCAAGATTTTTATATTATGTGCACACATTTCTCCTATAAATTATGCAATGACATTGATGTCCTAGTTGTTAGGCAGTGGTGAATTTATCTTAGATACAAACCCTTGAGCTGCTCAGAAACAAATACGAGGATGCTACATGTGTGTTTTGCTTTCCAGTGGGAGTAAATGCTGAGTGTAGGGGAGTAAATCTTGAAAGCATGACTGAGGATACTTAGACCCTGCCATACTTTGTGTCAGAAGTCTATAGAAAGGACAACACAAATTAAATGGTACTTCACTCCCTGCTGAGATTTGGTCAGATCCATGCATGGCTTTAAAATACAAAGTATTCAAGTTCAGTTTAGTGTAATCCTGAACTTGCCCACTTGGCACTTTTCTGAAAGCCAAAGAGTGGCTGGGAAAGAGATTGCTGTCTTTCAAAAAAATCTAAATGTGTTTTCATTTTAGAATTCATTAAAGTAAATTCATTATTTTCAGATAGTATTTTTTTTCTCTTGATTCCAATTTACAGAACAAAACCCAAGAGTATAAAATTGTGGGGATGTATTCCAATGGCATCAATGCGCTGGGGTTGATTGTCTTCTGCCTTGTTTTTGGAGTGGTTATTGGGAAAATGGAGGAGAAAGGACAAGTGCTGTTGGATTTCTTCAACGCTCTGAATGAAGCTACAATGAGAATAGTTCAGATAATTATGTGGTAAGTTCAAGGATATACCGGCATTTTCCAGCAACTTCTCTATGTGGATTTTGTCACTGAAGAGGTAGGAGCAGACTCAGAACTCATGTTTGCTTTTGCATAGTGCTTTACAGAAAGCAATTTTCAAAGAATGATTGGTAAAAATTTTCCTTTCTACAGAATTTGACCCTTTTGAGGAAACTGGAGACAGGGCTTCTTAATATATATTAAAGGAGCAGTCCTATTGGTTCCCAGGAGACCTGAGCTTTTTAGACATTCTTGCTAGACGTTTATAAAAAACTAGTGCACTAGTCATTTGAGGACTCTTTGAGGATAAGCATTACCACTCATATGCCCTTCTGAGTCTCAAACATTAATCCCCAACAGACATTATGTTCACAGGATGGCTGTATTGGATCTAAGTTCCTTTAGAAATCTGAATTAATATGCAAGCCACAGCACAGAGAAAAATTCAAAATGGTATGCAAAATACAACATAGCATAATTTACCTCCTGCTAATAGGTTTTGTGAGACTACATTCTCATCATATTCTCAAACAAGAAAAACCAGTTTAAAACATAGAAACTCATCTGATAGTGTTTGATTGGACTTCACAGCTATTAATAGAATTTTGTCTGTGCAAATCACAAATACATGATCAGGACTATAAATACACACAATTCCTTCCAGAGTTTGATCCTACATGCTGAGTGCTTTGTGACACTTATTACAATATTCTGCTCATGTGCATGTTTCATACCAGTACCATGACAGATCTGACCCTTCCATGGGTTTTTCTTACATCCCAGCACACTAAGATGTCTGTGAAACAGCAAACCTGTCTAGGGTTTGCACAATTCTTGCTTCCTTAAAGAAAGGTAAATTAATTTCTGCAACTGGTCCTGTGCTAAGCAGCTAGTTTAATCTCAGACTAAGTTAAAGTCCTGTGAGACAGGACACTCTGCAGAAAATTACCAACAAGACTCCAGACTTAGTACATGCCATAGAGGAATTTACTTATAAATTGATTATCCATTTTTTTGCATGTGCCAGAAGCTGTGACTACAGGCTCCCTGAGTTTCTACAGAGTGGGAGCTGTTGTTTGAAACAAGATGGAGTTTTGTGCTGAAAATATGAGGAATTAGTACTGTTTTCATCAAGTTTAGTGCTTAGAGTAACTAGGTATCCTTGCTTTCTACGGGGGTAAGATACAATTTTGTTTATGAGATAGCACACATACATTTTATAAATTTATAATTTCTATTTTAAAATGTATACATTTTTTATTCACAAATTTCTAGATTAATTTATACTGCTCAAAGCTCTGGAGTAATAACTTGTCTCTATGATAGCCTGCTCTGTGGAACCAAAAAAATGCAGTGGAGCTGGTGCTAATATAATTCCTGATATTTCCCTTGAATTTTCTGTAGGCAGTAGCCTATGCAGCTGTTCAGATCCATAAGGCATGGGCTTGTGCATGTTTACTTTATTCTGTTCAGGTGACACAGATATAGCCCCAGTGCTGCAGGGCAGTTCCTGTAACTCCAGGAGACCTTTCCCATCTGTGTATGATTACAGACTAGACAGACACTGATCTCAGCCCTGTAAACTTCCACCCCTAGGGAGCCTGTGGCTATACATGAGCCTTTGCTGTAACAGGGTGTATGCCCATACCCCTTCCCAATTTCTTTGTATTCTATATATTCTGTGATACCAAGTTAAACAACACTAGCTAGAGTACTAGTAGAGTTAAATTTACTTCTATTTTCCAGTCTTTTTTCATCACCTCTGTTGTAACCTTGCTGCAAATGAATAAAGTCCAATATATAACATAATACAAGAAAAAAAATTGTTGTTGTGCAATAGGATATCAAAACATATTTTTTATCTGTGCTAAAAAATTACTCTGGGAGAGAAATAATTTCATGGTGAGCATGCAGTATTTCTGAGAATACATTTTTGATATCTTTATTTTTTCTTTCCAGGTATATGCCAATTGGTATCTTGTTTTTAGTTGCTGGGAAGATAATAGAAGTTGAGGACTGGGAAATCTTTCGTAAATTGGGTCTTTATATGGCTACGGTACTAAGTGGGTATGTCATTTCTTAAAGATGTATGCAGTTTTGGAGCTCAGTTGATTACCACCCAATTATGCAGCACATCCAGTCTTCTAGGTCAGAGACAAAAATTCTCATCAGTGAAAATTATGTGAGGATGTGTGAGGATGGTTTGAATCCATGTTTTGCTGGATGCATGTTCTGTTTTAAAAATTCACAGCCTTGCATTCTAAAAAACCAAAACCCAAAAAGCAAATTCCTTTCTTGTATTCCCTGTTTCATCTTCACAGCTTGTGCTGAAGAAAATGTTTTATTAAAGGTGAGGTTATGAATTATGTCTTACTGGGGCTTGCCAGCCTATCAAGCATATAAAAAAATGTTGATTATGTTGGGAACCTCCATGGAATTTTTGGGCCCAAGGTGTTGCAGCACAGACCAAACTCCCTGCTGAACACAGATGCATAGTAAGAGCAGTGCACAATAAAGAATGCCAAATAAAGAATCCCTTCCCTCACCAGTTCTGAGCAGACAACTGACATCAAGAGAAGCCCTGGGGATTGCACTGTTTGCTAATTCCTCCTTCAAGGTTAGGGTAGATGGGGAGGCTGCAAAAAGAGAAGTGGCAATCTGAATAACATAGCCAAGCATCAGAACTTTTTTCTATTAATTTTTTGTCTTAGCAGTTGTCTATATAGAACAGTCTGGGTGGAGGAGGTTACACCTGCACAATGTGGAGCCTTTCAGCAGTGGAACTTTAGAATAACTTAACTACTCCAAATGATAGGTTATAATACTAGGTTATTATAAATCTCTGAAGACTATCCTACAAAGGACACTTGTGTCAGATAAATGGATATTACAGTCCCAAGAAGATGTGCTTAAATTTCTATTTCCAATTCAGTGAAGCATAGCCTTCTAGGCACTCTTGGTCCATTACCCTACTATCCACTCCTATAATTCCTTCAGTATACTAAGGATTTATATATGTTTTGTCTAGAGGCTAGGTACAAAGTTGTTCAAGAGTTTCTTTCCCCACACTTTATGCATTTGCTTGCTATTCTTCAAAGGTCATTCACACATTTTGTGACAGCCAAGCAAAGAGAATAGTAATATATTAGTCTTAAATGCAAACTACTTTATAATAGTCAAAAAGGATCTCTGGGATTTTCATATTAATCTGTGCTAGATAAGCACATTTATTTAAAGGTTGTTGTTTTGTTTTATTCATAAGCCAGTATGTTTGGACTAGCTGTTTGAAAATCAGTGATAAAATTTTTTTCTAAAAAAGAATTGCTGCTCCAGAAATAGCACTGATTGATGACTTTTTCAAAATGTTACAGAGATGAGTGTAAGTTATGTTTATCTAACGCATTCTGCAGTTTTTTATGAGTATTTGTTTGCACTTGGAAAATAAGTCAGATTTTTACAAATTTCAAAAGCTGATATTTACCAAGAGATGGTAAATCAAGACTCTAATTTTCTATACAAATTATAAATGACACCCCAACCACAAGCTAGATAGAAATCATTGAAGAATGACAGTGTATTACTTCTGCAGGTTTTCTATGTCATTAACTCTAGTTAATTCAGAGGAGGAATATGTTGAATGGATTACTACTGCCTTTTGACTTAAGTTTTACATCAGATACCAAGTTTTAGTTTTAGATGTGATAGCAAGTTTTATGACTATTTACCTATTGGTTACTGGTTACAGGTTACTATTTGTACTGTGATAAGGCAAGTCTTCCTTAAGATGTGTGTGAAGACACAATGCCTTCTCCAAAGTACTTTAATTGCAAAGTTAACTGCCACTGCATAACCTCCTGTTTAGCTGGTAACCATTGGTTTGACAGGCACAACAATTTTAAGCATATCCCCAGGTGCCATCAAAAACATTAGTGATAACATTTGCATCCTTGGAGAGAAAAAGTCTCTGTTCCTCCAGATATGACCATTTTCCCTGATGGGTGCTCAGGTAGATCTCTGCAGCATTTCTGCTTCCTGCAGAGCAGCCTCCCATGAGTGCTGCTCAAGGCATTGCGGATAAGGGCTAACGGCAGCGTATTCCCTGCAAAACTGACCATCAGGGAGAGCATGTTATAATCAAATCACAGGAGCAACTATGGACACATACACACAAGTCTATAGGCTGCAGGGAAAAGGTGCTTGTTCTAAATTTTTCAGCCTTCAAGAATACCCTTTTTCCTTACTTCTCAGGAAAAAGGAGAAATGTTGCTCTTTATTTGGGTTTATTAAAAACTGCTGTTCCTACCATCATTTTGGATTTCATTCTTATGCGTTTGACTTTGTCTGCAGTATATTCTGTTCACTGGTGTCTTCTATAACTGCTTATCATCCTCTCTTTAAGCTTGAATCTGAAATAACAGGTTATCTTAAACATTTATTTTATTCCTTATCAAGATAATTGTCTGATCCTCTGCTTTTTTTCCTTGAACCTCCCTAACCAGCTCACCTTCTTCCCAGCTTAATTATTCATGATCTTTCAAAGTCTCAGCCCTACCAGGACTCATCCACCATTGTTTGCAGCTCATCTCAGTCTCTATATCTCATTCAGGTCACCACGAGGTAACAGCTTCCCCCGGTGTCTTTGGTGCAGTGTGCCACTAAGTATCTCAAGTCTCGCATGATTAATGGTTGCAGAGTCAGGATGAGACATATTAGAAGTTACAGCAGACGAAAGTCAAAGTGGAGGCATAATTTTAAGCGCCAAAGGGAGCTCAGGCTGAAGTGGGAAAAAAAAATAAAAAAAAAAAAAAGCTGCAGCAAGTAGATTCTCCTTGCCTGTGCCTTTGTCTCTTCTGAAAGAAGCAAGACAGCTACATCCCTGTACAAGATATTCCTACATGAAATGGCTGCTTGCGATTCTGAGGGACATGCTTCTTCCTAACTTAAAAATTAATGCTATTAGAATTTCTATTTTCAATTACTGATTATTATTTTGATATAAAAAATTCTGCTGCTTGCTGATAATTGCATTTTATGAACACAAATAAATATTGCTTCAAATTTGTTTCAGGAAAACCATTAGTAGCAAAGCAGATACACAAAAATACACAAAATTTTGAATAATGTCATGTTCATGCTGCAGATCTAAATTTTTCAAATAACTAAGTCAGTATGCTTTTAGACATAGACATACTTGAAATGCTTACTCTTATTAACATTTTATTATAACAGCAAATGGCATCCATACCACTTTATTTTTTTTCTATTTATATTCTGCAGAATTTGGTTTGCTCTCAGGCATGTCACAAACTTAGCAATTTATACAATGATGCCTTGTGGTGGTGCATGTATAAATTGCTAGATTTCTGCAAATATGTAGGTATTGTGGATTGTGGATTTTTTTGTACTATGACTACTGGTCTATTAATTGTCTGGTTTTGGCAGAACAAATGGTACCATGATTTATTGCTATCTTTATCAACTGCTCTGAAACCGTAAAGCATTATTACAACATAGGAATGTGCACATGAACATTTTGTGAGGACAGAATAAAAATTCCAAGGTCAGAGGTGACGACAGTTTTTGGGTTTATGTTTCCAGGCTATGTTGTAATTTCTTTTCATGAAAAGCTGTTGTCACTATAATTAAAACATTCAAACATAGGGAATATTCACAGACCCTTCAAATACATTTCATTTCAAACATACTTACAGCAGTCAGTTTACATTTTATCTTAATACCCACAAGCTCTGCATTCATGTGCATTCAGGATTGCTGCACAGTGTTTAAAATTAACACATATGTTGAAGGATGATTTTGTCCCTGAGACCTATACAAATACCCAGGCAAATACATCTGAGCTGCTAAAGTCAAGAGAGCAAGCTGGCCTTCTATGAGTCCATCCACTTAATTTTAAAAATTAATAGTTTCAAAATATGGCATTTCAGCATCTTACAATATTCTCATTTAAACAGTTTCAAATACCTCACCATATTTTAACTGTAGACTTGAGCTTACACAGTTTTCTCCAGGGCAGATGCAGATTTTTCTAAATGTCCATATTTGAAGTTTCTGCAGAAAGCTGTGCATTTCAGCTGTCCCTGACTGGAAAGCATATTTACCTCTATTTTTAAAATGTGTTCTGTAATAAGGGCAAACAAACTAAGAATAATTATTTGATTTGGTTTTCTGGTTTGTCTCTGGTTTGCATTGTAAGGATTTGGGAGAAGACTGAAGTGTTTTAGTGTTCTTTCAAATCACCCTCTGCACATCACCTTAAATATTATGTATTAGTTTAGGCTTCTCATTTTTATCAGTTTAAATTTTTTCCCCGTCAATTCTTGCTTAGCTTAGGAAAGCGAGGCTATTCATTTATAGTCTCTCTCTCCTTTCCAAAAAGAAGTGTAAAACAGAATGAGTCTGCTTTTTATTAACATGGCATTCTCTCCAAATTTTGCACCTAGGTGTCACTAAAGTCACCTTTAGTGTTAAGTATACTTGAGGACAGAGCTGGGTGCCTATTATCACCATCTTAGTAAAGAAAGACGATGAGATGGACCTGTTTGTTTAACATGTTGATTTTATTTTGCAGACTTGCAATCCATTCCATTATAGTTCTGCCGCTTATCTACTTAGTAATAGTAAGGAAAAATCCTTTTCGGTTTGCCATGGGGATGGCTCAGGCACTTCTGACAGCCCTCATGATCTCTTCCAGGTAAACAAAATACATATCTTTTCTGTAATGTAAGTAGTAGTAATTGTGTGATCTGTGCTCTGATTTTACTGCTACTTTTTTAAAAGCCCTGGTATCAGCTGGACAGTTCTCAGTCCCCTGGAGGCTGAAATACTGTTTTCATCATGATTTCTGTCGTACCCAAAGGGCACTACAGAGTGCGTTAGCCTTATACCAAACAAGAGTCTGCCTCTCCCTGGAGGAGGCAGTTCATTAGCTGCAGACTTGACAGCATTTAAGCTGTTGAACATTTTTTGTGACTACGTATAACATAGCAATTTACCATGTAATTTTGAGAGCAACTAATACTTATCTGTTTCTTCCAGTAATAATCAAGTATAAGAAAAGTTGCTTTGCTTTTCATGGTGCAGTCTTCCTTCCTGCCTTAGATCTCCTTTTGACTCATAAAGCAGATCATGCTCTGAGCAAAGGAAACATAATAGAAATGGTGTGTTGTTGCCTTCACTTATTTTATGTGTTTCACTATGTGCCAGTTCAGCAACTTTGCCTGTCACCTTCCGCTGTGCAGAAGAAAAAAACTTGATTGACAAAAGAATCACAAGGTTCGTTCTTCCAGTTGGAGCTACCATCAACATGGATGGCACTGCTCTTTATGAAGCAGTAGCAGCCATATTTATTGCACAGCTGAATGACTTAGAACTGGATATTGGCCAAATAGTTACCATTAGGTAAGACTAAAGCCATCACATGTATTTTGTGGGAAGTGATTTTTTTGTAAATGGTACATTAACTTTGGATACCCCATGGGAAAGTTTAAATTATCATTCACAGCACAAGAAATAATAAGTATTCTCACTTCTTGATCCAAGGCCTAGCCAGTGCAACCTGATGGGGAGGTAGGATGGATCAGGATATGCAGCTGGTATACAATACTGTTATGAAGATTGCTATTATTCTTCCCTGCAAACACTCGCAAACCTAACTCAGCCTCTACCTTTGATCCATCCAGTTTGCTTGCTAGAAATGTGTTGCTTGTTATTCTGCAGTGTAACCATAAGAGAACATGGCTTGTTCTATAAAGCTTGACACCGGACTTTGAGTAAATACTATTCAAAAGGAAAACTGAAAAATTTAGGTTTCTTTCTTGCAGTGAAATTAAACTATTTGTGCCAGAAAACAGAGTTTCTGTGAGTAATATGTATTCTGAATGCCTTTTCTGGGTTTTATTTGGGATTTAGTGTCACAGCTACTGCAGCCAGCATCGGAGCTGCAGGCGTGCCCCAGGCCGGACTTGTTACCATGGTGATTGTGCTGAGTGCCATTGGCCTGCCTGCCGACGATGTCACTCTGATCATTGCAGTTGACTGGCTTCTGTAAGTTTAAGGCACCTCATATTTAATGATTTTTCCTTTTTCTTTTTCCTTTTTTTTTTTTTTTTATATTTGCATAAGTTGCCTAGAAATGTGTAAGTCTGAGAAAGAAAGCAATAAGATCATTTAGGTGCAGAAAATGGACAAAGATTATTCTTATGGCCAGGCTTGTTCAGAGTTGAATGCAGTAATAGCTTTGATTGTGAGAGAAGTCCTACTGCATGGGATAGCAGTGAATAACCTCACATTCAGAGATGTCTTCTGCCTTAAAGTAGTGGTCACAGCACTAATAAACCATGAGCATCACCCTCATGACAGACAAGTTTGACAGTAACAAGAAATGTGTCTACAGTGTCAGAGATGCCACCACATCACACTAAACACGTACATCATTCATAAAAATCAAATGTAGCCACAAGCTGCAAAGCACATAATCTCCATAAGCTGGCAGTGGAGCACAACATTATGCTTATGAACAAAGCAAAACTGACCCTGCATTCCACATGCACACATATAGCAGGTTGTACACAAATCTGTGCTGCCAGCACTACTTTACTAGGGCTGTTCTTCACTGAGAGCACTGGCCCAGCCCTCAATCAAAAAGCACACATCTAAATTTGGAAAGTGATTCTTATACCTAATCCAAACCATATCAGAGCACTCCCAAACCTCTCAGTCACATTCATCTTCTCTCTCTAGAGAGAAGCCTTTCCACCAGAAATCTTTTCTGTTCAAATTACACCACTGTGTATCTCTGCCACTTTAGCAAAAGCCCATAGAATCACAGAGTGCATTCTGGAGGTCAGAAGGCTATCAATAATCATGGACAAATACAAGTTTTGTTCCATGATACACAGGGTAACAGGATTCACAAGTTAACAAGTATAACTTCAGTTCTTTTGTCTCCTAAACTGTGTGAGCTTTAGTGGTCAGCCCAAGGTCTTTTTCACCCGCAGTTTGCATGGATGACATTTCACTGATACCAATCCAGTGATCTTAATGATTTAATAATATTTGCATGTCTTCTTCAGGTTTCTTTACACTCAAGATAAATACCTTGCTGTTCCTCCTCCACCCTTTCTAATAATTTTCTTGAAGGATTTCTGGCAGCAACCTATGTATTTCACAGATATATTTATTTGATTATATAACTCAATTTTGCAAATAGAGAGAAATGCCAGTCTCCAGAAAATCAAAGCTGTTGTATGGATCCAAGAATCAATGCAATTTATGTATAAGCATAATTTCCAGTTCCATCCACAAGTACATTCTCCAGTCAGCTGTCTGCAACAGGGTCTAATAGTTTTGTTTGCTGTGCTCCACAGTCATTTTGTTTTCTCCAGCTCTCTTCTATTCCTAGTGAGCATTTAATATTTTTAAGGATAGTGCAGATACCACTGGCTCAGAGGAAGTATCTAAAGAGTCTAAGAACAGCACAAATGTATACTGGTTCTTTTTCCAAAGTATTTGCCCAGCCTCCTGAAAATTACAGAACAGAGAGTTCCTGAGTTAGAAAGTATTTTGGTCTTCTTCTTCTTCTTCTATGAATGCCTCATTGTTTTGGGACCCATGTTTCCACAAGTCCTAGCGTGATGAATTCCACATCCTAATGATGCAGAGATATAATTGAATTTTGTTTGTTCTCTTCTACACCCTAATAATTTCATTTTATGCCCTCTACTTACCGTATGGGAGTAAGAGAGAAAGAGAACAATTCCCTATTTCTCAGAGCAATCATGATTTTATGGATCTGATCTTTATTCCACTTTAGAAGTCTATAGCTTTTGTGGGACTTCTTGTGGGACTATTGTTCCACCATGAAACATACAAATAATTCAAGATATTTCTGATTCTAATTAAGGCATTTTTCAGATTAAGATGTGTTTTGCTGTGTAAATTAAATAAAATAAAATAGTGCTATTATTACAGATGAGTTTCAAGTGCTGTTGATTTTCTCACCTGTCACACTGATCCTACTAGAATCTTTACTATTTTCTCTTCCTTTCCCTACCATATATTTTTGTTGCACATGGAAAACTTTTTAGCACTAGAATTCAGCAGTTGTAGAAGTATTGTGAAATATTGTAAATATATTCACCTCAATGTCTCTGCACAGAAAAGGTTCTGCCACAGAGCCTTTGTAGTGCTCTGTAGTTTAAAACAAAAACAGGGAAGTCTGCCCTTCCACTCTCCATACTGTACTTCCATGTCAATTTTCAAACTTTGTTAAGTCGCAAGGGTTTGGTGTTCCTCTGCCAAGTAGCAGTGGGTTTTTAAGGCTGCTGTCTAGAGAAAAGGCATTTCTGTCCAGAGAAAAGTCAATAGTGCAGGAGTATCATATTCCTTTAAGGGACTTTTTTAGTACAGGTTTGTCCTTCAGCCCTTTAATAAGGAGAAGCTAGCAGAAGACAGGCCTTTCCCTTTTCCAGTTTTGGGCCAGAATACTGAAGATACTGGGCTAGGTCCTCTTCTGGCTGAGGACATGACTGTTAGAATGACAAAAGGCACAATGCAGACTCTGCTGCTGCACCCCACACTCTATCGTTACAGCTTTGTAGCATACTTCAGGGGCATGAGAGGTGATCCTTCCATTTTGTAAGTCTATGCCACAGCAGTGGAATTACTGCTCTAATGGACAAGTGACACGACTTGCAGTTTTGCATGTACAAAATCATTTCTCATTAAAATTACTCCACGCTTCTTTAAATACCTGTGAGTAAAATTCTGATTCTTGTTTTAAAAGACTGTTTTCTTTTAATTGAATAATTACCCAAATCTGCACTGGGAAGAAAACATCATTGGATAAGATAGAGTATCTTGTTTTTACTAAGAGGATTTTCTAAATAACTGAATGGTTTGTTTTACAACTTTTTTGTTTCATAGGGATCGGTTCAGAACAATGGTGAACGTCTTGGGAGACGCCTTTGGTACAGGAGTAGTGGAGAAGCTCTCCAAAAAGGAGCTGGAGCAGATGGATGTCACCTCTGAAGTCAACATAGTCAATCCTTTTGCTTTGGAAACAGGAATTGATAATGATGAAACACAAGCCAAGAAATCTTATGTCAACGGAGGCTTTGCTGTAGATAAATCTGATACCATATCCTTCACACAGACATCCCAGTTCTAAAGCCAGTAGCTTTCAGATAAAACAGGGGCACTAAGGGAGATGGCCATATGCAATATCTCAAAAAGTTTAAAGGAAATTGAGAATGAATTACATCTTACATCTGATTTTACCACACAGACTCTGATTCTCTTTACCATTTCTGCCCCTTCTCATCATCTCCCTCAACAGTTTGAACTCACCATTGTTAGTCCTTACTGACAGGCTAAAGAAAAAGACAGTTGTAAAATACTTTTTTTTTCAGAATATATACTATTCCTGAGGCTGTGAAATGCCTCTCTGGAATCAGCATGTTCATAAATGGGTCATTAGCTGGGGGATAGCCAAATGTGTTTTACTCAGGAGTACACAACATACATTATACATTACCACATCACAAAGTACCTGTATGAAATCCCTTTTTACATCCTTGCCTTCTAAACAGGTTGCACAGTACTTGACAACTCCTGTAACTTGATCATTTGCCAAAACGCTAATTTCTGCAGCTGAGGGGATACTACTTGCATGATTCAGGAAAAAACAGACCAGAAGGGCCTTGAAATAAGTACATTTTACTGTGAATAGGGTTTATTTTTCATTCAATTGTGAAATAATTAGTCACTGAAAGAGGTCCAGTATTTATGTAGCTAAGTTTCCTCATACCTTTCATGTGAACGCCAGCTGCTGGTATTGGCCTTCAGATGTGAATTAAATTGTTCTGAGCTTGCTGTTCTTGCATTTGAAGAGCTTTGGTAAAATTATACTTTATCTATTTAGGTCAACTTTAATGGCCTCCTTGTACATTTCTGTCAGAAATAAAAGTCCATTTTGTGTTGTCCACTTATGATTTTAACAAAGTATTAGTCAGCCCAAAAGTAAGCAGAGGTCATGAAAACAAAAGTGCAGAGTGCAAATTCTAAATGTTTCTTCCTTGCAATAAAAGCAGATATATATATATATACATACACATATGTCAAGAATATAGGAATGAGACCTTTCTCATAGAAAGAAGCCACTTTCATTAAACTTCTTACACAGACTGATTTTTTTTTTTTTGGCTCTTTGGTTTAGTTTATCAGTTGAACATGCAAGTTTATAGCTGCAACACCACTACAGTGCCAACCTGTCAGCTAAACTGTATCTTATGAACCATTTCTTGACCCAGAAAATCATGTCCTCAGGTGGCTTGCTGTAACATAAGCACCGAGAACTTCCTCATTAAAAATCTCCATTTTCTATAACATTTTATACAAGATTTCCATGGTGCAAAAATCACTCTCTCAAGGGAGGAGTTGCTATAACAATTTTTTTTTTTACCTTGCACGTTGAAGTGGTTAGCCATTTTATATATAAATTAAACCGAAATTCATATACAGTTATTTCTTTGTGAATAAGGTTGTGGTAAGCATAAAATCACATTCATTTGCTAACAAAAAACCCTCCAAGTACCTGCAGTGTTAAATACTCTATTCAATCCTACACTTTTGTATTTAGACAGACCAGAATTGTGCCAAAGAGAACTGATTAGGAAGAAAAATATTTACTGTAGATTTTGATAAACTGCACTTTAAATTAATGAGACATAATGCTGAAAAGCCAGGGAATCTCAGAAAAACGGAAAGCTGTGTAACGACGTATATTTGTATTCCACGGACAGATTCAAGCGAGATCTCTTTGGTTGCTCTTGGGGGATGAAGTTTATTCAGGACGCAGAGAGGCTCTGCCTCGAGCTGCCAGACACAGCACGTGGCTGGGCCTCGGGTGATGAGGGAGGGGAGAGACAGAGAGGAGAGCAGGGACTCCCGGAGGACTCTCCAGGAGGGGAAGGGAAGATCCAAGAGAGCGTCCAGCCCCCCGGAGAGCCTTTATCAAAGGGGGCTCCAGGGTGGGCTGGAACAGGACCTGGGCCAATGGGGTCACAGGCACCTGATGGTTCAGGGGAGGGTTACAGATGTGGGGTGAACCATACATTCTGGGGGGGTGACATGGAAGAGTCCATTCGGCTTTTGGACCCCGCTGTAGGTGAGGGTAATTGTCCAGCCAGTAGGGGGCGTTATATTCGTCCTGGCTGTACCATTGTGGTTCTTAATCATATTTATCTACCCTTCCCAACAAGCTGGACAAGACAAACGCAGGTCTGAACCAAAGTGGTTAATCAAGCGTTCTCCGTTTATTCAAGATAAGGTGGTAGTTTATATAAGCTTCTACATAGTTTACAAAAACAAAGACACTCTGATTGGTAGGCTAACATTGTTTGCCTTTTCCTTAAAACGGCCTACACCTTACACTATAAAACCTATACTAATTCACACCCAGACAACCCAGTGGTCCCCATCACACCTTAAGACTATTTCTATCTGTGCCACAAGCTCTGAATTTCTAACTGCGTCAAGAGGCTTGAAGGCCTCACCAGGCCTAAATCTGAGGCCTAGACTGGAGTAGCTCAAATTTCATAACTCATGTCCTCTTTCTCTCAAAGATGCTGCAACAATGCTGTATTTAAATTTAACGTCATAAACTATATGAAAATGTTAATCTAAGTATTGGTGAACTTATACAATATAAAGAAAATGTACAGATTGAGTAAATCAATCTTTTACCTTTGCAGAAACAGTATGAGACAGTCTTTATTTGTGCAGTTTGCTTATGGGAAGAAAAAGGCTACCAGTTTCCATGACTAGTCTATAATCTATGCCTTGTCTTTAAACAGCTTTTTAAGTCACCGTTTTCTGATCACCTTATTATGTAACCACCCTTTAATGATGTACTGTGAACAGTGTTCTTAATGTGTTATAAATAAATAATTTCTCTCTTTACTCTTGTTTTAGCCTACAGTTTTCTTCTTAATTGTGCCTTTAGCTATAACAAGAAAACCAAACCCCACCAAATTCAGGATTTATGTTATTGTCTCTAGTGATTTAGCTGTAGTTTTGGCAAGAGTTACTCTCTTCCTCCAATAAAATAGATGCTTAAGAGCAGAGTACTGAGATTGCAAGAAGCCACTCTAACTACAGATGACCTGGATTCCGAGTATGCTATTATTAAACACACACTAAGCAGGTGATTGTTTACCTATAACTTATTTATCTGGATCAGATTCAACTGAGCAGGTGTTGGTGGTATTGTTTTGCCATCTACTCCCAACCAAGAGACCAAACCATATGCTGAAGATCCTTTTAAGTCTAAGGATGCTTTTCTTTACACAGTATTGCAAGTATGTACCTTCTATATATGTGGAAACACCCTGCTTGAGCAACAGCTCCTCTTTTCCACAGTCTCCTGGTCTGAAAGATTTGGAGAGTGGTAAAGAATCACTATTAGAAAGGCATCTGCAGATTTTGGCCCTTTACATTATGTTGTTATGTTCTTGTAGGAGTTTTGGGGCTGCAGAAGCTTATCACAGGATTAGACTCTGCATTTTGAATAGTGTTTGTGACTTTAATTTAATTTGACCTGGAGGACCAGGTTACCCACGCACCCATCCCTGCTGAAATACTCAGGGACTTTTAGTTGACTCTTAACTCTGAACAAAGAAAGCACTTGCACATAAACATACATAGGTCTGTCAACACGTACAGGTCAGCTATATCATCTCCACAAGATCTAAAATTGCATAAAAACCACCATGACATGTGCAATTCACTTGTTCTTTAACCTTCTCTGATACAAAACTGATTAGTGGTGCATGGGCAGGGAGGAGGCAGCCAGTGAACCCCCATGTTGGGACACCATAGGATCTGTGCCCTCATCCTGCATCAGCACGCAAACCCCTTTTGCATCACTTGCCCCTCACAGGGTCAAGGTCTTCAGGGTGCCCGGTGACCCATGAGAACATGTAGGCTGGTGACATGCCCCAGGCCTATGGGGACCCTTAGCCCCATTTCAAGGTACTGCTCCTAGCTGGAGACCTCCAGTGGAGATGGGGACTTCCTGGGGACAAGGACCTCTGAGCACTGGTATACGATACTTTGAGGTCAGGGACCTTCAGACTCGTAGGGGAAATGCCATTTGAGGGTCATGGGCAGTGACTTCCCCACACAGAGGTGGCCCTGTTCCCAGCTCCATGACTCTCTACTCCCCCCAAATGCACCTGCTATGTCAGGGTCGGGGCCAGGGTGTTAACAATCATTCACAAGTTTCTCACCAGAGGAGAGGTGATTTGTTTAAAATTTGAGCTGTAAATCCTGGTTACGTCAAAGAAAATCTTAGGCAGAGCTGCCTTCCTACTGCATGTCACCACTGGCACAAGGACTAGTGGGAGCTCTGGGACTGAATGTACTGGAAGCACTAGGATGGGGGAGCTGGGCTGGCTGTGCTTTGTAGGACATGCTTACTGACAGCCTGGGAGAGCATTCTGATTGCATGTTCTCAGTGGACACTGGTAGCACTGAGATGGGCTATCCATCTGGGAGTCCTAGTGTAGGAGTACTGGCAGCACTGGATTGAGAGTACCGGGATCACTGGGCCATACTGGGATGGGAGGCGCTTGGGGCAATAGGAGCAGTGTGTTTTGGGGGTGATTTGGGGGCTGGATGAGCTAGGCCAGGCATTTTGGGGGAGTATTTGTAGTCTCCAAAATATGTGGATGTTTGTGAACCATGGACTGGTTTGGGGGACTATTTTGCACCCTAAGGGTCATGGGGCAAAGGCTGCCCCACAGAGTTGCTGCCCCCTTCCATGTCTGGGCAGTGGAGGTGAAGGAGGTTTGGGACATCAATGTGATGATGGAGTGGGAATCCCCTTAGGATGACAGCAACTCCAAGGGCGCCCACTACACTGTGCAGAAGGTGATAGGGAAACCCCCACCCACTGCCCCCCAGCTGCCTTCCCTCAGAACCCTCAAATGATGCCTGGATCCTCTTCTGGTCATGAGGGGACAGTACCAGTGTTCCACTTCTGGCCTTGGGGGAACCCTAGACACGTGTGTCTCCTCCTGGTTGCAGGGGGCCACCCAGACATCTTCATCACATCCTGGTCCTGGGGTCCCAACTGGGCATCTGGCCCATCCAGAGGCCATCTAGACATCCGAGTCCCCAGGGATCCCTAACTCAGACCATGTGTCCCTGCATGTGCGTGTCCAGGCCTGCCACTGAAGCACTTGAGTTCCAGCACGACCATCGCTCAGCTGCAGGGCTGGAAGCACCACGGCAACTGTATCCCTGCCCTCTGCGCTGCACCGGGGCAGCCCAAGGGGACGGAGGGGTTGGGGTGCCCCTAATGCTGTCCCTCCCAGCCCAAGGTGGAATGTAGATGGAGATCAAGGGGAGCAAGGGAATTTTGGAGTTCCTAACCACATGTTCCCCGATCCAAGGTGAGGTGGCTGATGAACAAGGGGTCCATCAGGGAGGACCCCTTCAGCCAGGGGTCCCTGGCCCACCACAGCTGCAAACCCGGGACGGGGTGAGCTGGAAGCAGTCCGTCCCAACCCGGCCGCTTCCATGACTCCGCGACAACCGGCCGCCAGGCCGGGCGTTACCCGGCAACAAGCGGCAGCACAAACACACACGCGTGCCGCGGGCTCGGGAAGGGGAGCGAGAGGAGGAAGGAGGCTGCTAGCTGCCCACGTTCCTAGCTGCAGCTTCCTTCCAGCACGGAGGAAGGACAGGTGCTGTGTTTTCGGGCAGGGCAGCAGCCATGGCCTCAGTCAGCCTGTCACAGCTACTGGATGAGGCCATCGGGACGCCCGAAGTCAGTGTTAACTTGGAGGCGCTCCGCAAACTGCTGAATATCATACTGGGACACCTGAGCCTGCTGGGTCTGCAGGACGTGATCCCCGAGGCAGCCGAGCCTGTCCCGGCGCAGAGCCATCCCGCCACATCACGCCCCGGCCCGCCGGAGGAGGAGGGCAGGAGCGGCACCGAGGCTGGAGCGTGGGACGCGGGGGAGCAGCCGCCCGAGGAGGACGAGCTGCAGGGGACCAGGAGCGGCTCTCCTGTCACCTCGGTGGCTGCCGACATGGGACAGATGGAGAAAACTGAACCCAAAGAGAGTGGCATCTCCAAGGTAGAGGCTTTTCCCACCCTCTGGGTGTTCCCCCCAAGACGCCCCTTCCTCTGGAGTCTGTGCCCTTATGCAAAGGTTTGCTCTGAGGCTCTGAGCAGCATGTTGACTTTCATTGTGGGAAAGGGAGGGAGACTTGCAGAGAAAATCTGGAGCTAAAACACTGCTCTGGGTGCTTTGGGTCCTTCCCATGTTGTGTCTTTTCCCGCTGACCCAGAGTGTGCTATAGGCTCCCCAAGACAGGAGTGGGAGTCTCCGGGGAGCTGCTTGCCTGGGGCTCACCCCCACCACCTGTCTCTCCCAGGAGGCCCACAAGGAGATGGCTGGGATTAAGGCCATGCAGTCCATCATGGGAGAGGAAATCCAGAGAATCAAGGAGGAACTTGGTCAGGTGAGCTGCCACCATCAGCCTGTTGCAGGTCTGAGACAGCAGCCAGTGACCTCTCTGCAGTGGAGGTTCAGCTGCATCCGGACATACCAGATGAATGGAGAGTGCAACCCACAGTGCCCAACTATCTGGTGGTGCAGATCGTGGTGCAGGCAAAGGTCCTGCAGGTCCCCAGGGACCCTCCCCTGAGGTCTCTCCCCCCCCACACACTCTCTCTTAGACCACGGATCTCTGCAAGGATCTCCGTAAGGAGGTCAATGAGATGAAGGCCACACAATCTGACATGGGAGAAGGCATCCGGATGATCCAGGAAGCACTTGGCCCGGTGAGCTGCTGCCTTTGGGAGGGAATTGGACCCTCTCCACTTCCCTGCCTCTCAAGACCTTGCCCTGCCACCCCTGCCCGGTGTCCATGGGTGTCACTCAGTGTGAAGGTCACTGGGAGGGAAGAATGGGAAGGATGTCCTGTGGGGGAAGCATGGAAACTCAGCCTTGCCCACTAGGAGGCCCCCACCTCTGCCAGCAGATCAACCTGGTAGTAGAGGTCACTGCCTGCCTCAGCCAAAGGGTTCCTGAGGCACTTTGAAGTAAACAGCCCTGAAAAAAGGGAAAATGGGTGCTGGGAAGGAAAGAAGGTAAAGATCAGCCAGTACTTGGCAGCCACAGCCCACCCAGGGTCTCTCTGGCTTTGGCGCATGCTCAGTTGTGGATGCTCCTGGGTCCTGACTGCAGTCCCTCTCCAGGGGAACCTCCAGGATGCTGCCGGCCATCCGACCCCTGCCATGCCCCACACCTCAGACATGGACAAGCTGGGGCAGAACCCTGGTACCCAGAGCACCACCCCTGGGATGCAGACAGGAACCCCCAGTGCCCAAAGTGGCACCACTGGGACACAGCCTGGTTCCCAAGAAGGCATTCCAGCTATGGAGAGCATTATCAGAGACCTATCTGAGCTCCAGGGCCAGATGTCCTCCCTGCAGAACCTGGCCAGAGATCTGCAGGATGAGAAGGAGAAGGTAAGCCCATAGAAGTCCCTAAAGGGGCTGCAAGGATGCCAGGGAGAGTTGGCAGAGAGGAGGCAGGCAAAGGAGAGCATGGGGTCCATGCCCTGACTCTGCCACTACCACTCTTCCCAGATCAGACAGCTGCAGGATGCCCTTGGAGATCTGGGTGTGACTGTAGCCAAGTGCAAAGTGGATGGCACCAACGAGATCCCTCTACAGCTGGAGTAAGAGGATAGGGAGAAGATTTTGTATCCTACAGGGCTGCAGGGGAGCTGGGAGGTATGGGGGCTGGCAGTCCAGGAGCATCGGGTTTGGGAAGCAAAGCTCACCTCTCAGGTGGCCTTGTGGAGGCTCAGCCTGCCTGTGCCCTCATCTTGTTGGCTAGGTCTGCACTGCAGGAGATTAAGCAGGAGCAGAAGGAGCTG